GGAGGTCCGAGGTCCGGACGACTCCAGAGGGGGAGGGTTTGTTTGAAGCACTGTCCTGAACGTCCGTCCTTTAACCTTGTATGTCTCCTGGCTGTTTGTAGAACCTGGCGTGGGTAAAGTCATACAACATCTGCTTTGGGCTGGAGGACTGCAACGAAATCTTCATCCAGCTCTTCAAGACACTCTTCTCTGTCATCAAGTAAGAATCTCTCTCTCTCTCATGCTCTCGCTCGCACGTGTGTTCCATCAAGCTGGCACGTGAGACAGCCTGTCTTTTATAGAGAACACCCTGTCTCTGGCTGTGTTCCATCAAGCTGGCACGTGAGACAGGCCTGTTTTTATAGAGAACACCCTGTCTCTGGCTGTGTTCCATCAAGCTGGCACGTGAGACAGCCTGTCTTATAAGAGAACAACTTGTATTGGCTGTGTTTCCATCAAGCTGGCAAGTGAGACGCCTGTCTTTTATAGAGAGAACACCTGTCCTGGCCGGTGTTCCAGCAAGCTGCCAGTGAGGACAGCCTGTCTTTACTAGAGAACACCTGTATCTGGCTGTCGTTCCATAAAGATGTGGCACGTGGAGACGCATGTCTTTTTATAGAGAACACCTGTCTCTGGCTGTGTTCCATCAAGCTGGCACGTGAGACAGCCTGTCTTTATAGAGAACACCTTGTCCTCGTGGCTGTGTTCCATTCAAAGCTGGCAAGTGAGGACAGCCGTCTTTTATAGAGAACACCCTGTCTATGGCGTGTTACCCAAGCTGGCACGTGAGACAGGCCGTCTTATAGAGAAAACACCTGTCTCTGGCTGTTGTTGTGTTCCATTTCAAGCTGTGGCAAGTTGGACACAGGCCTGTCTTTATAGCAGAACACCTTGGTCTCTGGCTGTGTTCCATCAAGCTGGAAGTTTGAGAAGCTGTTCTTTATTAGAGAACCACTGTCTCTGGCTGTGTTCCGTCAATGCTGGCATGTGAGACCAGCCCTGTCTTTATAGAGAAAAACCTGTCTCTGGCTGGTGTTCCATCCAAGGGGGGGGGGGGGCTGGCACGTGAGACAAGCCGGTCTTTATAGAGAGAACACCATGTCTCTGGCGTGTGTTCCATCAAGCTGGCACGTGAGACAGACTGTTTTATAGCGAAACACCCTGTTCTGGCAGGTGTTCCATCAAGCTGGCACGTGAGACAGCCTGTCTTTATAGAGAACAAACATGTCTCGGCTTGTGTTCCATCAAGATGGCAAGAGACAGCCTTGGCTTTATAGAGAAAACCCTGTCTCGGCCCATCAAGCTGGAACGGTGAGGACAGCCTTGTCTTTATAAGAGAGAACAACCTGTCTCTGGCTGTGTTCCATCAGCGGGCACGGAGTACAGCCTGTCTTATAGAGAACACCTGTCTCTGCTGGCTGTTCCATCAAGTGCACGTGAGGACAGCCTTGTTCTTTATAGAGAACACCTGTCTCTGGCTGTGTTCCATCAAGCTGGCACGTGAGACAGCCCTGTCTTTATAGAGAACACCTGTCTCTGGCTGTGTTCCATCAAGCTGGCACGTGAGACAGCCTGTCTTTATAGAGAACACCTGTCTCTGGCTGTGTTCCATCAAGCTGGCACGTGACAGCCTTGTCTTTATAGAGAACAACCTTTGCTCTGCTGGGTTCCATCAACTGGCACCGTGAGACAAAGCCTGTCTTTATAGAGCAACACCTGTCTCTTGGCTGGGTTCCATCAAGCTGGCCACGTGAGACAGCCTGTCTTTATAGAGAACACCTGTCTCTGGCTGTGTTCCATCAAGCTGGCACGTGAGACAGCTGTCTTTATAGAGAAACACCGTCTCTGGCTGGTTTCCACAAGCTTGGCAGTGAGACGCCTGTATTATAGAGGCGACCCACCATCAGGGTTGAGGGGTTGATAAAACATAACCAGGCCAATAATATTTATAAACATTTAACTGAATGTACATTTCAGCGTGGGCTCTTGTGACCAACGTTACCAAATTTGACTTGAGTAATAATGGACTTTTTATTTGTAACAACAATGCACAACAAAAATGTCATCCGGTGACCCACCTGGACTCCTGCCCCGCCCCACAGTTTGTGAACCACTGGTATGGGAACCTGTGATCCTCACTGACAGAGGAAGAGTGGCCGGACAGAGTGATGGGTCCTAGAAGGAATAACCTCTGTCTGGCCACAGTAGGATGTCCTCCAGAGTTTCCTGGTCTGGCTGTCTCCTCTACCTCAGCAGACCGCTCTCACACACTAGGACCACAGCTGTGGTCTGGTCTGGGTACGGTGTGGTCTGGTCATGGGGTGCATTCTCCCTCCTCCTCCTGGCTCCCCACTCACACCTCCATAGTGTTGGTCTGGTCTATTTCCCACTCATCCAGTGTCCTCTGAGGGCTGAGCTGTCAGACTGCCTCAGTCCAGTTCCACACACCGGGTCACAGTAGGGTCCTGGGCTTGATGCAGCCGTAGCTCTGAGAACTCTCCACAACTGGCATCATCTTTCTCCTGTCAAGACGGTTGGGTCTTCCTCCTCCCGTAAAGACGGTTGGGTCTCCCTCCTCCCGTAAAGACGGTTGGGTCTCCCTCCTCCCGCCGTTGTGTAAAGTAAGCATGGTTGGGCTCCCCTCCTCCCGTTTAAAAGACGGTGGGGTCTCCCTCCCGTTAAAGAACGGTGGATTGCGGTCTCCCTCCTATCGTCAAGACGGAGTTGGGTGCTTCCTCCTCCAGTTTTTAAAATTAAAAGACGGTTGGGTCTTTCTACTCCCGTTTAAAGGACAGGTGCGGGGTCTATCCATCCCTCCCGGTAAAAAAGACGTTTTTTTGGGTCTCCCTCCCCCGTTAAAGACGGTGGGTCTTCCTCCTCCTGTAGACGGTTGGGTCACCTCCTGAACCGCTAAAGTAAAGAAAAAGACGGGTTCGATGAGTCGCCCCTACTCCCGTTTAAAGACGGTTGAGGTCTTCACCTACCTCCGGAAATGACGGTTGGGTCTCCCTCCTTCCTCCCGTTTAAAGACGTTGGGTTTCGCCCTCTCCTCCCGTCAATACGGTGGGATCCCCTACTACCGTCAAATACGGTTGGGTTCACGTCCCTCCTAATACGTCAATAAGGGTTTTTTTGGGTCTACATCCTACTGTAAAGAGGTTGGGTCTACCTCATCCCGGTAAAACGGGTTGGTGTATAAATATAAAGTAAAGAAGAGTGGGTATAAATATCTAAATAAAGGAAAAAAGAAGGGTGGGCAGCCGGGAGAGGGGGGAGTTGGTGGTTATAAAAATGAATATAAAGTAATGTAAAAAGAAGGTGGGTGGGTGGGTGGGTTTATAATAATTACGGTTAAAGGAAAGGTGGGGTTATAATAAAATAGGAAGAAAGGCTTGGGTGTATACTATTTTCCCAAAGTCAAAGCAGAAGTCTATGAAAGACCCCATAAACCAACGATAAGGGTTCGGGAGACCCGGGTCGGGTCTGGCCGTTGGCCTGGATTGGTGGGGGTTGGGTGTATAAATACAATAAGGTAAAGTAATTTAACAAATTAATAGGACGGTTGGGTGGGGCGGGGGTGGGGGATACAACTCAAGTGAAAAGACTGGCGTCCCGGATAAAGACGTGTGGGGTCTCCACACTCCCGTTAATTTTTAAAGACGGGTTGGGTCTCCCTCCTCCCGTAAAGACGGTTGGGTCTCCCTCCTCCCGTAAAGACGGTTGGGTCTCCCTCCTCCCGTAAAGACGGGTGGGTCTTCCTCCTCCCGTAAAGACAGGTGGGTCTCTCCATAGGAAGACGCCTGTGTGACTCCATATAGCAGCACAGAGGTTGATCCAGGACGGGAGGACGTCTTGTGGATGGGTTATGAATGGTATAGTTCAGTCCAGGCTAGTAGTAGCTTGAGTCAAGAAGTTTAGGTTTATGAATGGTAGTCAGTCAGGTAGTAGACGCTTTTCGGACCAGACGTGTTTTTTGTTTATGAATGGTAGTCAGTCAGTGTAGTAGATAGCAGTCAGGTTAGTAGACGCTGACCAGGACGTGTTTATGAATGGTAGTCAGTCAGGTTAGTAGACGTTGACAGAGACCACAGTCTGTCAGACTGAGAGGGCAGCCAGAGACAGAGAATGGAAGCCCTTGGGAGGAGCATGGAGACAACACTAGGTTTAACAGATATGGGACAGTAGTAGTGTAACGCTTATCAAGTTCCTCTCTCAGAAAGAAATTATGTCTGTTTCTTTCACACACACATCACAAACAAAACCCCTTATTGAATACCCTCTCTCTCTCTCCAAAAATCTCACTCCCATCCCTCGCCTTTAACCTCTCTCTCTCTCCCCTCTCAAACCTTCTTCTTCTCCATCCTCTTTACTCTGCCAAACTCTCTTCTCAATCCTCTCTCTATCTCTCCTCACTTCTTATCTTCTAATTCTCATCTCTCTCACACCTCTGACAGCCAAACTCCTCCCCTCATACGCTCTCTCTCATCTCTCCTCTCTCTTCTATCTCTCTCATCTCCATCTATCTCTCTCTCATCTTCTCTGTCTCTCTCTCTCTCTCTCTCTCTATCTCTCTCTCTCTCCTCTCTGCTCTCACTCTCTCTCTCTCTCTCTCTCTCTCTCTCTCTCTCTCTCTACTCTCTCTCTCTCTCTCTCTCTTCTCTCGTCTCTCTCCTCTCTCTCTCCAACCTCTCTCTAACCTCTCTCTCTCTCTCTCTCTCTCTACCTCCTACAGTAACAGTCACAATCAGAAGGTCCAGATGCACTGTGGATCTGATGAGTTCTATATAATGGAGGGAGACGGAGTCACACAGGAAACTACTGGACACCATACTGATCAACCTCATACCGCTCACAAGGTAAGCACCATACTGATCAACTCATACCTGCTCACAAGGTAAAGCACCATACTGATCAACCCCATACCTGCTCACAAGGTAAGCACCATACTGATCAACCTCATACCTGCTCACAAGGTTAAAGCACCATACTGATCAACCTCATACCTGCTCACAAGGTAAAGCACCATACTGATCAACCTCATACCTGCTCACAAGGTAACACACCATACTGATCAACCTCATACCTGCTCACAAGGTAAAGCACCATACTGGATCAACCTCATACCTGCTCACAAGGTAACACACCATACTGATCAACCTCCATACCTGCTCACAAGGGTAACGCACCATACTGATCAACCTCATACCTGCTCACAAGGGTAACACACCATACTGATCAACCTCATACCTGCTCACAAGGTAACGCACCATAATGATCAACCCTCATACCTGCTCACAAGGTAAAGCACCATACTGATCAACCTCATACCTGCTCACAAGGTAAAGCACCATACTGATCAACCTCATACCTGCTCACAAGGTAAAGACACCATACTGATCAACCTCATACCTGTCCACAAGGTAACACACCATACTGGATCAACCTCATACTGCTCACAAGGTAACGCACCATACTGATCAAACCTCATACCTGCTCACAAGGTAACGCCAACCATACTGATCAACCTCATACCTGCTCACAAGGTAAACGCACCATACTGATCAACCTCATACCTGCTCACAAGGTAACACACCATACTGATCAACCTCGTACCTGTCCACAAGGTAACACACCATACTGATCAACCTCATACCTGCTCAACAAGGTAACAACACCATACTGATCAACCTCATACCTGCTCACAAGGTAACACACCATAATGATCAACCTCATACCTGGTCCACAACGTAACACACCATACTGATCAACCTCGTACCTGCTCACAAGGTAACACACCATACTGATCAACCTCGTACCTGTCCACAAGGTAACACACCATACTGATCAACCTCATACCTGTCCACAAGGTAACACACCATACTGATCAACCTCATACCTGTCCACAAGGTAACCAACCATACTGATCAACCTCATACCTGTCCACAAGGTAACACACCATACTGATCAACCCTCGTACCTGCTCACAAGGTAACACACCATACTGATCAACCTCATACCTGTCCACAAGGTAACACACCATACTGATCAACCCCGTACCTGTCCACAAGGTAACGCACCATACTGATCAACCTCGTACCTGCTCACAAGGTAACACACCATACTGATCAACCTCATACCTGCTCCCAAGGCAAAACACACACACCCCCCATACCCCCCTCCCTGTTGATGTTTAATCCTCTCTTCTCTTCTCCAGAACCTGAATAAGGAGGCGTACGACTTGGCCAAGACCCTGCTGAAGAGGACCGTGCAGACCATAGAGACATGCATCGCTAACGTTAGTACTGTATATATATATATACCTCTATCTCTCTCTCTATCTACCATTCAGACCATAGAGACATGCATCGCTAACGTTAGTACTGTATATATATATATATACCTCTATCTCTCTCTCTATCTACCATTCAGACCATAGAGACATGCATCGCTAACGTTAGTACTGTATATATATATATATATATCTCTCTCTCTATCTACCATTCAGACCATAGAGACATGCATCGCTAACGTTAGTACTGTATATATATATATATACCTCTATCTCTCTCTCTCTCTACCATTCAGACCATAGAGACATGCATCGCTAACGTTAGTACTGTATATATATATATATATACCTCTATCTCTCTCTCTATCTACCATTCAGACCATAGAGACATGCATCGCTAACGTTAGTACTGTATATACATATATATACCTCTATCTCTCTCTCTATCTACCATTCAGACCATAGAGACATGCATCGCTAACGTTAGTACTGTATATATATATATATATATACCTCTATCTCTCTCTCTATCTACCATTCAGACCATAGAGACATGCATCGCTAACGTTAGTACTGTATACAGTAATCCCTCGTTTATCGCGGGGGTTACGTTCCGAAAATGACCCGCGATAAGTGAAATCCGCGAAATAGAAAACTTTTTTTTTTTACAATTAGCAACTATTACATGTATACAAATACAGTGACTCACGTGTAGGCCGTTTCACTGCTCTTCAGACTGGGCCGCTGCATCCTGACTGCGCTCTGCAGTGTTCTCTTCTTCTGAAGCCCGCGGTGCAGGTGTGTTTGTTCGGGAGAAGAACATAGTGATAGGCAGCTGTTGTCGCTCTTTTTTCTTCTTTGCAAAAAGATCCTTGTACACCGACATGCCACCATCGATTACGTTGGAGAACTGTAATGAACGGCTCATCAAAGGGTCCCATTCCTCAGCTACTCGCATAAGTTCAGTGGCCATTCGCACCATGGTTGCTAAGCGACCAAGCGTTAGTCCTTCCTCCTCATCTCTCGTGTCCTCTTCTCCCTCTTCTCTTTCATCGTCGCTTTGTGGCTTTGTCATTTACCTTCCCTTAGCATGTCCAGAAGTTTAACTTTATCTGAGATAGGTAGCATCTTCCGCCGTTTGGGCCCATCCGCAGGTGCTTTTGTCGGTCCAGGCCGTTTCGTCGACATTATGGGTTTAGGAGATGTTCGAAATTACAAGATAATTTGGCCAACTTAATGTAAATTTGCCAAGCTGTTTTATGTACGTACACATAACTGCACGAGACGACAAAATGATAGCACAATTCGTAGCATGTTTTGATACAAGAAGCGGGAGTGAGTTTTTAGCGAATCAGAATGCAGAGCACAATGCACCAAAAAAAAAGAAATGCATTATGAAAATCCGCGAAATAGCGAATCCGCGATAAGTGAACCGCGAAGTGGCGAGGGATCACTGTATACATATATATACCTCTATCTCTCTCTCTCTCTCTCTACCATTCAGACCATAGAGACATGCATCGCTAACGTTAGTACTATATATATATATATACCTCTATCTCTCTCTCTATCTACCATTCAGACCATAGAGACATGCATCGCTAACGTTAGTACTATATATATATATATACCTCTATCTCTCTCTCTATCTACCATTCAGACCATAGAGACATGCATCGCTAACGTTAGTACTGTATATATATATATACCTCTATCTCTCTCTCTATCTACCATTCAGACCATAGAGACATGCATCGCTAACGTTAGTACTGTATATATATATATACCTCTATCTCTCTCTCTATCTACCATTCAGACCATAGAGACATGCATCGCTAACGTTAGTACTGTGTATATATATATATACCTCTATCTCTCTCTCTATCTACCATTCAGACCATAGAGACATGCATCGCCTAACGTTAGTACTGTATATATATATATATATATATACCTCCATCTCTCTCTCTCTACCATTCAGACCATAGAGACATGCATCGCTAACGTTAGTACTGTATATATATATATATACCTCTATCTCTCTCTCTCTCTACCATTCAGACCATAGAGACATGACTCGCTAACGTTAGTACTGTATATATATATATATACCTCTATCTCTCTCTCTATCTACCATTCAGACCATAGAGACATGCATCGCTAACGTTAGTACTGTATATATATATATACCTCTATCTCTCTCTCTATCTACCATTCAGACCATAGAGACATGCATCGCTAACGTTAGTACTGTGTATATATATATATACCTCTATCTCTCTCTCTATCTACCATTCAGACCATAGAGACATGCATCGCCTAACGTTAGTACTGTATATATATATATATATATATATATATATACCTCCATCTCTCTCTCTCTCTACCATTCAGACCATAGAGACATGCATCGCTAACGTTAGTACTGTATATATATATATATACCTCTATCTCTCTCTCTCTCTACCATTCAGACCATAGAGACATGACTCGCTAACGTTAGTACTGTATATATATATATACCTCTATCTCTCTCTCTATCTACCATTCAGACCATAGAGACATGCATCGCTAACGTTAGTACTGTATATATATATATATATATACCTCTATCTCTCTCTCTATCTACCATTCAGACCATAGAGACATGCATCGCTAACGTTAGTACTGTGTATATATATATATATATATATATCTCTCTCTATCTACCATTCAGACCATAGAGACATGCATCGCTAACGTTAGTACTGTATATATATATATATATATATACCTCTATCTCTCTCTCTATCTACCATTCAGACCATAGAGACATGCATCGCTAACGTTAGTACTGTATATATATATATACCTCTATCTCTCTCTCTATCTACCATTCAGACCATAGAGACATGCATCGCTAACGTTAGTACTGTATATATATATATACCTCTATCTCTCTCTCTATCTACCATTCAGACCATAGAGACATGCATCGCTAACGTTAGTACTGTATATATATATATACCTCTATCTCTCTCTCTATCTACCATTCAGACCATAGAGACATGACTCACTAACGTTAGTACTGTGTATATATATATATATACCTCTATCTCTCTCTCTATCTACCATTCAGACCATAGAGACATGCATCGCTAACGTTAGTACTGTATATATATATATATACCTCTATCTCTCTCTCTATCTACCATTCAGACCATAGAGACATGCATTGCTAACGTTAGTACTGTGTATATATACAGTTGAAGTCAGAAGTTTACATACACCTTAGTCAAATACATTTAAACTCTGTTTTTCACAATTCCTGACATTTAATCCAAGTAAAAATTCCCTGTTTTAGGTCAGTTAGGATCAGCACTTTATTTTAAGAATGTGAAATGTCAGAATAATAGTAGAGAGAATGATTTATTTCAGCTTTTATTTATTTCATCACATTCCCAGTGGGTCAGAAGTTTACATACACTCAATCAGTATTTGGTAGCATTGCCATTAAATTGTTTAACTTGGGTCAAAGGTTTGGGTAGCCTTCCACAAGCTTCCCACAATAAGTTGGGTGAATTTTGGCCCATTCTTCCTGACAGAGCTGGTGTAACTGAGTCAGGTTTGTAGGCCTCCTTGCTCGCACACGCTTTTTCAGTTCTGCCCACAAATGTTCTATAGGATTGAGGTTTGACTTTGTTGTCCTTAAGCCATTTTGCAACAACTTTGGAAGTATGCTTGGGGTCATTGTCCATTTGGAAGACCCATTTGCGACCAAGCTTTAACTTCCTGACTGATGTCTTGAGATGTTGCTTCAATATAGCCACATAATTTTCCTTCCTCATGATGCCATCTATTTTGTGAAGTGCACCAGTCCCTCCTGCAGCAAAGTACCGCCACAGCATGATGCTGCCACCCTCGTGCTTCACGGGTGGGATGGTGTTCTTCGGCATGTAAGACTTTCCTCCAAACATAAAGATGGTCATTATGGCCAAACAGTTCTATTTTTGTTTCATCAGACCAGAGGACATTTCTCCAAAAAGTACGATCTTTGTCCCCATGTGCAGTTGCAAACCGTAGTCTGGCTTTTTTATGGTGGATTTGGAGCAGTGGCTTCTTCCTTGCTGAGCGGCCTTTCAGGTTATGTCAATATAGGACTCGTTTTACTGTGGATATAGATACTTTTGTACCTGTTTCCTCCAGCATCTTCACAAGGTCCTTTGCTGTTGTTCTGGGATTGATTTGCACTTTTCGCACCAAAGTACGTTCATCTCTAGGAGACAGAACACGTCGCCTTCCTGAGCGGTATGACGGCTGCGTGGTCCCATGGTGTTTATACTTGCGTACTATTGTTTGTACAGATGAACGTGGTACCTTCAGGCGTTTGGAAATTGCTTCCATGGATGAACCAGACTTTTGGAGGTCTACAAAAAATTTTCTGAGGTCTTGGCTGATTTCTTTTGAGAAAAGAGTCACTGAGTTTGAAGGTAGGCCTTGAAATACATCCACAGGCACTCCTCCAATTGACTCAAATGATGTCAGTTAACCTATCAGAAGCTTCTAAAGCCATGACATCATTTTCTGGAATTTTCCAAGCTGTTTAAAGGCACAGTCAACTTAGTGTATGTAAACTTCTGACCCACTGGAATTGTGATACAGTGAATTATAAGTGAAATAATCTGTCTGTGATCAATTGTTGGAAAAATTACTTGTGTCATGCACAAAGTAGATGTCCTAACCGACTTGCCAAAACTATAGTTTAACAATACATTTGTAGAGTGGTTGAAAAACGAGTTTTAATGACTCCAACCTAAAGTGGATGTAAACTTTCAACTTCAACTGTACCTCTCTCTCGATAATTGTCCAGGCTTAGAGCTGGTTGGTAGGTAGTGCAGGATAGTGGTGAAGACCGCTAACGGTGGCTAATAGCTAATAGCTAGTTAGCTGGTTAGCTGGCTATTTAGCCGTAGGTTAGCTGGTTAGCTGGCTATTTAGCCGTAGGTTAGCTGGTTAGCTGGCTATTTTTAGCCGTAGGTCCTTGATAAACATAAATAAATTATAGAGTCTGTTCCACATCAGGAAAGTGTGTTTAGTTAAAGGATGGAAAGTGAGATAGAGAAATATATACGAAAAAAGACAAAAAACTAAAAAACTGGCTATTTACTTTACTTTATTTAACTGACACAACAGAATACACGACCGCATCTACCATTTAGACCATAGAGACATGGCTCACTAACGTTTAGCACTGTATATACAGTGGGGGAAAAAAATATTTAGTCAGCCACCAATTGTGCAAGTTCTCCCACTTAAAAAGATGAGAGAGGCCTGTAATTTTCATCATAGGTACACGTCAACTATGACAGACAAATTGAGAATTTTTTTCTCCAGAAAATCACATTGTAGGATTTTTTATGAATTTATTTGCAAATGATGGTGGAAAATATATATATATATATATATATGATATATATATATATATAATAAGTATATATACCTCTATCTCAAATGAAATGTATTGGTCACGTTCACATGGTTAGCAGATTTTATTGCGATTTGTAGTGAAATGCTTGTGCTTCTAGCTCCGACAGTGCAGCAATATCTAGCAAGTAATATCTAACAGATACACAACAAATATCCAATACACACAAATCTAAGTAAAGGAATGGAATAAGAATATATAACTATATGGATGAGCAATGTCATTATCAGAGCAGCATAGGCTAAGATGCAATAGATAGTATAGTACAGTTGAGTATATACATATGAGATGGGTAATGCAAGATATGTACACATTATTAAGATAGTATAGAATACAGTATATACATATGAGATGGGTAATGCAAGATATGTAAACATTATTAAGAGAGTATAGAATACAGTATATACATATGAGATGGGTAATAAAGTGGCCAGTGATTTTCAAGTCTGTATATAGGCAGCAGCCTCTCTGTGCTAGTGGATGGCTGTTTAACAGTCTACACCTCTATCTACCGTTCAGACCATAGAGACATGAATCACTAACAATTAGTACTGTGTGTGTGTATATATACAGTACCAGTCAAAAGTTTGGACACCTACTCATTCAAGGGTTTTTCTTTATTTTTACTATTTTCTACATTGTAGAATAATAGTGAAGACATCAAAACTATGAAATAACACATATGGAATCATGTAGTAACCAAAAAAGTGTTAAACAAATCAAAATATATTTTATATTTGAGATTCTTCAAATAGCCTTGATGACAGCTTTGCACAACTGGCATTCTCTCAACCAGCTTCACCTGGAATACTTTTTCCAACAGTCTTGGAGTTCCCACATATGCTGAGCACTTGTTGGCTGCTTTTCCTTCACTCTGCGGTCCAACTCATCCCAAACCATCTCAATTGGGTTGAGGTCTGGGGATTGTGGAGGCCAGGTCATCTGATGCAGCACTCCATCACTCTCCTTCTTGGTCAAATAGGCCTTACACAGCCTGGAGGTGTGTTGGGTCATTGTCCTGTTGAAAAACAAATGATACTCCCACTAAGCCCAAACCAGATGGGATGGCGTATCGCTGCAGAATGCTGTGGTAGCCATGCTGGTTAAGTGTGCCTTGAATTCTAAATCAATCACAGACAGTGTCACCAGCAAAGCACCCCCACACCATAACACCTCCTCCTCCATGCTTTACGGTGGGAAATACACATGCGGAGATCATCCGTTCACCTACTCTGCGTCTCACAAAGACACGGCGGTTGGAACCAAAATCTCAAATTTGGACTCATCAGACCAAAGGACAGACTTCCACCGGTCTAATGTCCATTGCTCGTGTTTCTTGGCCCAAGCAAGTCTCTTCTTCTTATTGGTGTCCTTTAGTAGTGGTTTCTTTGCAGCAATTCGACCATGAAGGCCTGATTCACACAGTCTCCTCTGAACAGTTGATGTTGAGATGTGTCTGTGACTTGAACTCTGTGATGCATTTATTTGGGCTGCAATTTCTGAGGCTGGTAACTCTAATGAACTTATCCTCGGCAGCAGAGGTAACTCTGGGTCTTCCTTTCCTGTGGCGGTCCTCATGAGAGCCAGTTTCATCATAGCGCTTGATGGTTTTTGCGACTGCAATTGAAACGTTCAAAGTTCTTGACATTTTACAGATTGACTGACCTTCATGTCTTAAAGTAATGATGGACTGTCGTTTCACTTTGCTTATTTGAGCTGTTCTTGCCATAATATGGTCTTGGTCTTTTACCAAATAGGGCTATTTTCTGTATACCACCCCTACCTTGTCACAACACAACTGATTGGCTCAAACGCATTAAGGAGGAAAGAAATTCAACTTTTAACAAGGCACACCTGTTAATTGAAATGCATTCCAGGTGACTACCTCATGAAGCTGGTTGAGAGAATGCCAAGAGTGTGCAAAGCTGTCATCACGGCAAAGGGGTGGCTACTTTGAAGAATCTCAAATAATATAAAATATATTTTGATTTGTTTAACACTTTTTTGGTTACTACATGATTCCATATGTGTTATTTCATAGTTTTGATGTCTTCACTATTATTCTAAAATGTAGAAAATAGTAAAAAAATAAAGAAAAACCCTTGAATGAGAAGGTGTCCAAACTTTTGACTGGTACTGTACATCTATCTCTCAATCTACCGTTCAGACCATGGAGACATGCATCGCATTAAGAGCACCTACTCCTTCCATGACTTGGGCTAATCGTTTGAACGCTATGATCCCTTATTGATGTCCAGGCTCTGCTGTAGCCGGCCGCAACCGGGAGACCCATGGGGCGGCGCACAATTGGCCCAGCGTCGTCCAGGGTAGGGGAGGGAATGGCAGGTAGGGAGGTAGCTCAGTTGATAGAGCATGGCGTTTGCAACGCCAGGGTTGTGGGTTCGTTTCCCACGGGGGGCCAGTATAAAAAAAAATATGTATTCACTAACTGTAAGTCGCTCTGGATAAGAGCGTCTGCTAAATGACGTAAATGTAAAATGTAATGCCATCTGTTAAATCCACTTCAATCAGTGTAGGTGAAGGGGAAGGAGGTTAAAGAAGGATTTTTAAGCCTTGAGACAATTGAGAATGTGTGCCATTCAGAGGATGAACGAGCAAGACAAAATATTGACGTGCCTTTTGAACGGGGTACGGTAGTAGGTGCCAGGCGCACCGGTTTGTGTCAAGAACTGCAACGCTGCTGGGTTTTTCACGCTCAACAGTTTTCCCCGCGTGTATTAAGAATGGTCAACTTGACACAACTGTGTGAAACGCATTGGAGTCAACATGGGCCAAGCATCCCTGTGGAACACTTTTGACACGTTGTGTAGTCCATGACCGACGAATTGAGGATGTTCTGAGGCAATATTAGGAAGGTGTTCTTAATGTTTTGGACACTCACTCTACTGTATTTATACACATCTGTCTGTCTGTCTGTATTCCTCTGTCTGTCTGTCTCTTCCTCTGTCTGTCTGTCTGTATTCCTGTCTGTGCATTTTAAGAAACAGATTCTCATTGAAATCAAGTTTTCTATAAACTCTGCTCTCTCTCTCTCCCCCCTCCCTCCCCTCCTCTCTCTCCCTCTCCCCCCCTCCCTCTCTCTCTCCTCCTCCCTCTCTCCCCCCTCTCTCTCTCCCCCCTCTCTCTCCCTCTCTCTCTCATCCTCCTCCCCCTCTCTCTCCCCTCTCTCTCTCTCCTCCATCCCCCCTCTCTCTCCCCCCGCTCTCTCCCCCCCTCTCTCTCCCCCCCCTCTCCTCCCCCCCCCTCTCCCTCCCCCCCCCCTCTCTCTCCCTCCTCTCGTCTCTCTCTCCCCCCCTCTCCTCTGCACCCCGCTCTCTCCCCCCTCTCCTCTCCCCCCCCTCCTCTCTCCCTCCTCTCTCCCTCCCCCTCTCCCCCCCCCTCTCACCCCCCTCTCCACCCCCCCCCCCTCCTCTCTCTACCACCGTCCCCTCTCTCTCTCATCCCCCCTCCTCTCCCCCCCTCCTCTCTCTACCCCCCCCCCCCCCCCCCCCTCTCTATCTCTCATTCCCAACCCTCTCTCTCTCACCCCTCTCTCTCCATCCCCCTTTCCCCCTCCAGTTCTTTAACCAGGTGCTGGTGATGGGGAAGTCTTCAGTCAGCGATCTGTCAGAACACGTGTTTGACCTGATCCAGGAGCTATTCTCCATCGAACCGCTGCTGCTCACATCTGTCATGCCCCAGCTAGAGTTTAAACTCAAGGTATAGGACACACACACCCATCTGTCATGCCCCAGCTAGAGTTTAAACTCAAGGTATAGGACACACACACCCATCTGTCATGCCCCAGCTAGAGTTTAAACTCAAGGTATAGGACACACACACCCATCTGTCATGCCCCAGCTAGAGTTTAAACTCAAGGTATAGGACACACACACCCATCTGTCATGCCCCCCCAGCTAGAGTTTAAACTCAAGGTATAGGACACACACACCCATCTGTCATGCCCCAGCTAGAGTTTAAACTCAAGGTATAGGACACACACACCCATCTGTCATGCCCCAGCTAGAGTTTAAACTCAAGGTATAGGACACACACACCCATCTGTCATGCCCCAGCTAGAGTTTAAACTCAAGGTATAGGACACACACACCCATCTGTCATGCCCCAGCTAGAGTTTAAACTCAAGGTATAGGACACACACACCCATCTGTCATGCCCCAGCTAGAGTTTAAACTCAAGGTATAGGACACACACACCCATCTGTCATGCCCCAGCTAGAGTTTAAACTCAAGGTATAGGACACACACACACCCACAGACAACAGACACACACAACAGACACACACACAAAAGACACACAATACACACACACACACACACAACACACACACACACAACACACACACACATTTTTACATTTACATTTTAGTCATTTAGCAGACGCTCTTATCCAGAGCGACTTACAGTTAGTGAATACATTATTATTTTTTATTTTTTTATACTGGCCCCCCAAGGGAATCAAACCCACAACCCTGGCGTTGCAAACGCCATGCTCTATCAACTGAGCTACATCCCTGCCGGCCATTCCCTCCCCTACCCTGGACGACGCAGGGCCAATTGTGCGCCGCCCATGAGTCTCCCGGTCGCGGCCGGCTGCGACAGAGCCTGGATTCGAACCAGGATCTCTAGTGGCACAGTTAGCACTGCGATGCAGTGCCTTAGACCACTGCACCACTCAGGAACAGACACACACACACAACAGACACACACATTGCGTAAGGTCTAGTGAGTATGCAGGCCATGGAAGAACTGGGACGTTTTCAGCTTCCACGAATTGTGTACAGATCCTTGCGACATGGGGCCGTGCATTATCATGCTGAAACATGAGGTGATGGTGGTGGATGAATGGCACGACAATGGGCCTCAGGATCTCTTCACGATATCTCTGTGCATTCAAATTGCTATCGATAAAATGTAATTGTGTTCGTTGTCCGTAGCTTATCAAATCAAATGTTATTTGCCACATGCGCCGAATACAACAGGTGTAGAACCTTACAATGAAATGCTTACTGACAAGCCCTTAACCAACAATGCAGTTTTAAGAGAGAAAAAAAGTGTTAAGTGAAAAAAATAAAAAAAAATAATTAAAGAGCAGCAGTAAAATAAAATAACAGTAGGGAGGCTATATACAGGGGGTACCGGTACAGAGTCAATGGGAAATAACAGTAGGGAGGCTATATACAGGGGGTACCGGTACAGAGTCAATGACTGACAAAACTATAAAAATTGACGTTACACACACCGCAACCAGTCAGGAACTTGAAGCTCTCAACTCAGCTGTAGAAACCTTCTGTCTTGGTGTGTTTGGACCATGATAGTTTGTTGGTGATGTGGACATCAAGTAACTTAAAGCTCTCAACCTGTTCCACTACAGCCCCGTCGATGAGAATGGGGGTGTGCTCAGTCCTCTTCTTTTTCCTGTAGTCCACAATCATCTCCTTTGTCTTGATCACGTTGAGGGAGAGGTTGTTATCCTGGCACCACACGGCCAGGTCTCTGACCTCCTCCCTATAGGCTGTCTCGTCGTTGTCGGTGATCAGGCCTAGCACTGTTGTGTCGTCTGCAAACTTAATGATGGTGTTGGAGTCGTGCCTGGCCATGCAGTCATGGGTGAACAGGGAGTACAGGAGGGGACTGAACACGCACCCCTGAGGGGCCCCCGTGTTGAGGATCAGCATGGCAGATGTGTTGTTACCTACCCTTATCACCTGGGGGCTGCCCGTCAGGAAGTCCAGGATCCAGTTGCAGAGGGAGGTGTTTAGTCCCAGGGTCCTTAGCTTAGTGATGAGCTTTGAGGGCACTATGGTGTTGAACACTGAGCTGTAGTCAATGAATAGCATTCTCACGTAGGTGTTCCTCTTGTCCAGGTGTGAAAGGGCAGTGTGGAGTGCAATAGAGATTGCATCTGTGGATCTGTTGGGGTGGTATGAGTGGGTCTAGGGTTTCTGGGATAATGGTGTTGATGTGAGCCATGACCAGCCTTTCAAAGCACTTCATGGCTACAGACGTCAGTGCTACGGGTCGGTAGTCATTTAGGCAGGTTATCTTGGTGTTCTTGGGCACAGGGACTATGGTGGTCTGCTTGAAACATGTTGGTATTACAGACTCAGTCAGGGACATGTTGAAAATGTCAGTGAAGACACTTACCAGTTGGTCAGCGCATGCTCGGAGTACACGTCCTGGTAATCCATCTGGCCCTGCGGCCTTGTGAATGTTGACCTGCTTAAAGGTCTTACTCACATCGGCTACGGAGAGCGAGATCACACAGTCATCCGGAACAGCTGATGCTCTCATGCATGCTTCAGTGTTGTTTGCCCTGAAGCGAGCATAGAAGTGATTTAGCATTTAGTAATAGTTTTCAAGCCCTGCCACATCCGACGAGTGTCAGAGCCGGTGTAGTACGATTCAATCTTATTCCTGTATTGACTCTAGAGTGTTTTTTCCTCTGGTTGCACATTTAACATGCTGGTAGAATGGATTTACGTTTCCCTGCATTAACGTCCCCGGCCACTAGGAGCGCTGCCTCTGGATGAGCGTTTTCCTGTTTACTTATGGCCTTAATACAGCTCATTGAGTGCAATCTTAGTGCCAGCCTCGGTTTGTGGTGGTAAATAGACAGCTACGAAAAATATAGATAAACTCTCTTGGTAAATAGTGTGGTCTACAGCTTATCATGAGATACTCTACCTCAGGCGAGCAGAACCTAGAGGATTAGATTTTATGAACCAGCTGTTGTTTACAAATATACACAGACCGCCACCCCTTGTCTTACCGGAGTCAGCCGTTCTATCCTGCCGATGTAGCGTATATCCCGCCAGCTGTATGTTGTCCATGTCGTCGTTCAGCCACGACTCGGTGAAACATAAGATATTACAGTTTTTAATGTCCCGTTGGTAGGATAACCTTGATCTTAGGTCGTCCATTTTGTTTTCCAATGATTGAACGTTGGCTAATAGGATTGATGGGAGCGGCAGTTTACTCGCTCGCCGTCGGATCCTTACAAGGCACCCCGACCTACGTCCACGATATCTCCGTCTCTTCCTCACGCGAATGACGGGGATTTGGGTCTTGTCGGGTGTCTGTAGAATATCCTTCGCGTCTGACTCGTTGAATAAAAAAATCTTCGTCCAATACGAGGTGAGTAATCGCTGTCCTGATATCCAGAAGCTCTTTTTGGTCATAAGAGACGGTGGCAGAAACATTGTGTACAGAATAAATTACAAATAACGCGGAAAAACACACATAATAGTACAATTGGTTAGAGGGCTGTAAAACGGCAGCCATTTTCTCCGGCACCATCCTACCATAACCCCACCGCCACCATGGGGGACTCTGTTCACAGCGTTGACATCAGCAAACCGCTCGCCCACACGACGCCATACACGTGGTCTGCAGTTGTGGCCGGTTGGAGGTACTGCCAAATTCTCTAAAATAACGTCGGAGGCGGCTTATGGTAGAGAATTGAACACTCGATTCTCTGGCAACAGCTCTGGTGGACATTGCTGCAGTCAGCGTGCCAATTGCGCTCGCTCTCTCAACTTGAGACATCTGTGGCATTGTGTTGTGTGACAAAACTGCACAATTTAGAGCATCCTTTTATTGTCCCCAGCACAAGGTGCACCTGTGTAATGATGATGCTGTTTAATCAGCTTCTTGATATGCCACACCTGTCAGGTGGATGGATTATCTTGGCAAAGGAGAAATGCTCACTAACAGCGATGGAGACAAATAATGAGCTTGTTGTGTGTCTGGAACATTCCTGGGATTTTTTATTTCCGCTCATGAAAAAATGGGACCGACACTTTACATGTTGCGTTTAGATTTTAGTTCAGTATAGAAGGTAAAGTAAAAACTCAAACCGGTGTGTGCATCAATACCGGTATATAGTCAAATACGGTATACAGCCCAGCCCTACACTCACGCCCACCACTCAAGCCCCATTTTGATCTAGAAAAAAACCCTGAACACACATACACCTACTAGACCTTAACCAAATGACCGTCATTGAATGAAAATCTATTTATTTCAGGTTGTAATCCAAGTTGTGTGTTTTGTTGTTGTTGTCGCAGAGTAACGATGGTGAAGAGCGTTTAGCTGTAGTCAGACTGCTGGCCAAGCTGTTTGGAGCCAAAGACTCAGAACTGGCCACTCAGAACAGACCGCTGTGGCAGTGCTTCCTGGGACGGTGAGACACGCATTCCACAGCCACATGAACACACGCTTGGGGGCGAACACGCACACGTACACACACACGCATAGTAGAGGTGCGTTGCGTTGACAAGATGTGTGTGTGTGTGTGTGTGTGTGTGTGTGTGTTTGTTTGTGCCATCCCCAGGTTTAATGACATCCATGTCCCAGTGAGGCTGGAGTCAGTCAAGTTTGCTTCCCACTGTCTGATGAATCATCCAGACCTGGCCAAAGACCTCACAGGTAGGTTTCTGATGAATCATCCAGACCTGGTTAAAGACCTCACAGGTAGGTTTCTGATGAATCATCCAGACCTGGCCAAAGACCTCACAGGTAGGTTTCTGATGATCCATCCAGACCTGGTTATAGACCTCACAGGTAGGTTTCTGATGAATCATCCAGACCTGGTTATAGACATCACAGGTAGGTTTCTGATGAATCATCCAGACCTGGCCAAAGACCTCACAGGTAGGTTTCTGATGAATCATCCAGACCTGGTTATAGACCTCACAGGTAGGTTTCTGATGAATCATCCAGACCTGGCCAAAGACCTCACAGGTAGGTGTCTGATGAATCATCCAGACCTGGCCAAAGACCTCACAGGTAGGTTTCTGATGAATCATCCAGACCTGGTTATAGACCTCACAGGTAGGTTTCTGATGAATCATCCAGACCTGGTTATAGACCTCACAGGTAGGTTTCTGATGAATCATCCAGACCTGGTTATAGACCTCACAGGTAGGTTTCTGATGAATCATCCAGACCTGGCCAAAGACCTCACAGGTAGGTTTCTGATGATCCATCCAGACCTGGTTATAGACCTCACAGGTAGGTTTCTGATGAATCATCCAGACCTGGCCAAAGACCTCACAGGTAGGTTTCTGATGAATCATCCAGACCTGGTTAAAGACCTCACAGGTAGGTTTCTGATGAATCATCCAGACCTGGCCAAAGACCTCACAGGTAGGTTTCTGATGATCCATCCAGACCTGGTTATAGACCTCACAGGTAGGTTTCTGATGAATCATCCAGACCTGGTTATAGACCTCACAGGTAGGTTTCTGATGAATCATCCAGACCTGGTTATAGACCTCACAGGTAGGTTTCTGATGATCCATCCAGACCCTTTGGGGTCCCAGGACCGAGTTTGGGAGACGCTGCCCTAACCAATATGTTGTCTGTATCGTCCAATCAGAGTTCCTGAAAGTGCGATCACATGACCCAGAGGAGGCGATCCGTCATGACGTCATCGTAACGATCATCAACGCCGGGAAGAAAGACCTGAACCTGGTTAACGACCAACTACTGGGCTTCGTTAGGGAGAGGACCCTGGACAAGAGGGTAACATACCTGTCAATACACACCTCAACCTTCTCAAGTCAAGTCTTTTCATTCTCGGCCCTTTGAGGGATGGATATTAGTTGGAAAGGAATAGTTTGGTTCTTAAGTTTATCTATCTTTCTCTCCTCTCCTCTCCTCTCCTCCCATCCTTTCTCCCCTCCCTCTCCCCTCCTCCCCTCCTTTCTCTCCCCTCCTCCATCTACCTACCTCCGCTCTCCCCCCTCCCTTCTCTCCACTCCCCGACCCTCCTTTCTCTCTCCCCCCTACCTGCCATCGCATTTCTCTCCTCCCATCCAATCTCTCCTCCGTCCCCTCCTCCACCTTTCTCCTCCATCCTCCGCTCTCTCCTCCCATCCTCCCTCCCCTCGCTCCCCCCCTCCTCCTCCTCCTCCTCCTCCTCCTCCTCCTCCCTCCTCCATCCTTCCTCGCCTCCCTCCTCTCCTCCCTCCCTCCTCCCCATCCTTTCCTCCCCTCCTCTCCTCTCTCCATAGTGGCGTGTTCGTAAGGAGGCGATGATGGGTTTGGCCCAGCTGTTTAAGAAGTACTGTCTTCACCATGAGGCTGGGAAGGAACAGGCCCAGAAGATCTCCTGGATCAAAGACAAACTGCTCCACATCTACTACCAGAACAGCATCGACGACAAGTACACGCCCACAGAACACGCGGAACACACGGAACACACAGAACACACGGAACACACGGAACACATGGAACACACAGAACACACGGAACACGCAGAACACACAGAACACACGGAACACACAGAACACACAGAATACACAGAACACGCAGAACACACAGAACAAACGGAACACATGGAACACACAGAACACGCAGAACACACAGAACACACGGAACACACACTGTTCACAGAAATACATCCTACTGAAACCACAGCATTATATTAGCATGGATTTTGTGTCATTTTCTGCAGGGTTCTTATCCATTTCTCTCCGTCTGTCTGTGTGTGTAGGTTACTAGTGGAGAAGATCTTTGCTCAGTACATGGTTCCCCACAGTCTGGACACCGAGGAGAAGATGAAATGTCTTTACTACCTGTACGCCTGCCTGGATACCAATGCTGTCAAGTAGGTACCCTGCTAGCACCAACACCTAGCCATAACCCTGCTAGCACCAACACCTAGCCATAACCCTGCTAGCACCAACCACCTTAGCCATAACCTGATTAGCAACAAACACCAGCCATAACCCTGTTAGTACCAACACTAAACAAACCATGCTTAGCACAAACACCTAGCCATAACCCTGTTAGTACCAACACCTAGCCATAACCCTGTTAGTACCAACACCTAGCCATAACCCTGTAGTACCAAACCTAGCCAAACCCTGTTAGTACAAACACCTAAACCATAACCTGCTAGCACCAACACCCTAGCCATAACCCTGCTAAGCACCAACTAGCCATACCCTTCTAGCACCCAAAACCTAGCCATAACCTGATAGCACCCAACACAGAGCCATGAAACCCTGCTAGCACCCAACAACTAAGCCAAACCCTGCTAGCACAAACACCAGCCATGTTAGCACCAACACCTAGCCATAACCGTTAGTACCAACACCTAAGCCCTACCCTGCTAGTACAACACCTAGCCATAACCCTGCTAGCACCAACACCTAGCCTAGCCCTGCTAGCACCAACACCTAGCCATAACCCTGTTAGCACCAACACCTAGCCATAACCCTGCTAGCACCAACACCTAGCCATAACCCTGTTAGTACCAACACTAGCCAGACCCGTTAGGACAACACATAGATAACCCTGCTACACCAACACCTAGACAATAACCCTGCTAGAAACCAGACACTAGCATAACCCGTGTTTGTACAACACTAGCCATAACCTGTAGTACCAACACCAGCACGGTGGTACCAAGCACCTAGCCCTAACCCTGTTAGTACCCAACACCAGCAAAACCCTGCTAGTACCAACACCTAGCCATAACCGCTGTTAGTACCACACACCTAGCCATTGTTAGTACCAACACCTAGCCAAACCATGTTAGTACCAACATCCTAGCCGTAACCCTGTTAGTTACCAACACCTCCTGTTGTACCAAACAACCTAGCCTGTTATACCAACACCTAACCATAACCAGTTAGTACAACACATAGCCATAACCTGTTAGTACCAACACTAGCCATAAACTGTTAGTACCAACACCTACCATAACCCTGTTAGTACCAACACCTCCTAGCCATAACTGTTAGTACCAAACACCCTAGCCATAAACCTTGTTAGTACAACAACTAGCCGTAACCACTGTTAGCAACCAACACTAGCATAACCCTGTAGTAACGCCACAGCCCATAACACTGTTAGTACCAACACCTAGCCTAACCCTGTGTACCACACCTAGCCATAACCCTGGTTAGTTAACCAAAACACTAGCCATAACCCGTTAGTACTAAAACCTAGCCGTTAGTACCCCAACACTAGCCATACTGTTAGTACCAACCCAAACACCTAGCCATAACCCTGTTAGTACCAACACCTAGCCATAACCCTGTTAGTACCAACACCTAGCCCTGTTAGTTACAACAACTTACGCAAACCCGTTTAGTACCACACCTAGCCAAACCCTGTTAGTACCAACACCTGCCTGTAGTACCAAAACCTAGCCCTGTAGTACCAAACCTAGCCTAAACCTGTTAGTACCAACACCTAGCCATACTGTTAGTACCAACACCCTAGCCATAACCCTGTTTTAGTACCAAAACCTAGCCCATAACCCTGTTCAGTACAAAACACATAAGCCATAACCCTGTTAGTACAAACACCTAGCCATAACCGGTTAGTCCCAAACACCTAGCATAACCAAGCTAGCACCAACACCTAGCCATAACCCTGTTAGTACAACCCCTAGCCATAACCTGGTAGTACCACACCTAGCCATAACCCTGTTAGTACCAAAACAGCCTGTTAGCACCAACACCTAGCCGGTTAGTACCAACACCTAGCCATAACCCTGTTAGTACCAACACCTAGCCCTGTTAGTACCAACACCTAGCCCTAACCCTGTTAGTACCAACACCTAGCCATAACCCTGTTAGTACCAACACCTAGCCATAACCCTGTTAGTACCAACACCTAGCCATAACCCTGCTAGCACCAACACCTAGCCATAACCCTGTTAGTACCAACACCTAGCCCCTGTTAGTACCAACACCTAGCCATAACCCTGTTAGTACCAACACCTAGCCATAACCCTGTTAGTACCAACACCTAGCCATAACCCTGTTAGTACCAACACCTAGCCCAACCCTGTTTTAGTCCAACACCTAGCCTAACCCTGTAGACAACACCTAGCAATAACCCTGTTAGCACCAACACCCTAGCATAACCCTGTTAGTACCAACACTAGCCATACCCCTGTTAGTACACAACACCTAGACATAACCCATGTTAGTACCAAACCAGCCAAACCTGTTAGACCAACACTAGCATAACACGTTAGTACAACCCCTTAGCCATAACCCTGCTAGCACCAACACCTAGCCAGTAACCCTGTTAGACAAACCAAACTAGCCATACCCATGTTATACCAAACACCTAGCCATAACCATGTTAGTACCAACACCTATAGCCCGTTAGTACCAACACCTAGCCATAACCTGTTAGCACAACACCTAAGCCGTAACCATGTTAGTACCAACACCTAGCCAGAACGTTAGTCAAACCTAGCCAGAACCCTGTAGTACCAACACATGCCAGAAAACCCTGTAGTACCAAACACGTAGCCCTGTTTTAGTACCAACCACTGCAATAACCGTTAGTACAAACACCTAGCCCTGTAGTACCAAACCTTAGCATAAACCCTGTAGTCACCCAACACTTAGCCATAACCTGTTAGCACCCAACACTGCCATAACCTGCTAGCACCAACACCTAGCCATAAACCCTTTGTTAGCACAACAAACTAGCATTAACCCTGCTAGCACCAAACACTAGCCATAGCCCTGTTGTTAGTACCAACACCAGCCATAACCCTGTTAGTACCAACACACTAGCCATAACCCTGTTAGTAACAACACCTACCCTAACCCTGTTAGTACCAACACCTGCCCTGGTAGTACCAACACCTAGCCATAACCCGTTAGTACCAAACCATCCATACCCTTTTAGCACCAACACTAGCCTAACCCTGTTAGTACCAAACACTAGCCATAACCCTGTGTTAGTACCAACACCTAGCCATAACCCTGCTAGCACCAACACCTAGCCATAACCCTGTTAGTACAAACACCTGCCATAACCCATGTTAGTAGCCAACACCAGCCATACCCGGTTAGTACCAACACCTAGCCCTGTTATACCAAACACCTCGCCCGTTAGTACCCACACCTAGCCATAACCTGTTCGTACCAACACCTAGCATTAACCCGGCTAGCCACCAACAACATAGCCATAGACCCTGTTCGTAACACCAACTAGCCATAACCCTGTTAGTACCACACCTAGCCATAACATGTTAGTACCAACACCTAGCCATAACCCTGTTAGTTACCAACACCTAGCAATAACATGTAGTACAAACACCTAGCCTAACATGGTTAGTACCAACACCTAGCCATAACCCTGTGTTAGTACCAACACCTAGCCATAAACCTGTAGTACCAACCACCTAGCCATAACCCTGTTAGTACCAACACATAGCCATAACCCTGCTGCACACAACACATGCCCATAACCCTGGTAGTACCAAAACAAGCAATTACCCCGGGTGTAGTACCAAACACTAGCCATAACCCGGTTAGTACCAACACCTAGCCCATAACATGCTAGCACCACCTAGCCAAACCATGTTAGTACCAACACCTAGCCCTTAGCCCTGTTAGTACAAACACCTAGCCATCACCCTGTTAGTACCAACACATAGCCATAACCTGTTAGTACCACACTTAGCCATAACCATTTTAGTACAAACACCTAGCCATTAACAATGCTAGCCACAACCACTAGCCATAACCCTGTTAGTACCAACACATCGCCCTAGCCCTGTTAGTACCAAAACTAGCCATAACCTGTCGTACCACACCCTAGCCATAACCTGTTAGTACCAAACACATAACCCTGTTAGTACCAAAACCTAGACCAAACCCTGTAGCACAAACCCCTAGCCAAACCTGTTAGTACCAACACCTGCCATACCCTGTTAGTACAAAACCTAGCCATATAACCATGTTAGACCAACACCCTAGCCGGAACCCGGTTAGTACCAACACTAACCCTTGTTAGTACCAAACACCTAGCCATAACCGGTAGTAACCAACACCTAGCCATAACCCTGTTAGCACCAACACCTAGCCATAACCCTGTTAGCACCAACACCTAGCCTAACCCTGTTAGCACCAACACCTAGCCATAACCCTGTTAGTACCAACACCTAGCCATAACCCTCTTAGTACCAACACCTAGCCATAACCGTAGCACAAAACACCTAGCCCTGTTAGTACCAACACCTAGCCATAGCCCTGTTAGTACCAACACCTAGCCATAACCCTGTTAGTACCAACACCTAGCCATAACCCTGTTAGCACCAACACCTAGCCATAACCCTGTTAGTACCAACACCTAGCCATAACCCTGTTAGTACCAACACCTAGCCATAACCCTGTTAGTACCAACACCTAGCCATAACCCTGTTAGTACCAACACCTAGCATAACCCTGTTAGTACCAACACCTAGCCATAACCTGTTAGTACAAACCTAGCCATAAACCCTGCTAGTTACCAAACACCTAGCCATCACCATGGTGCACAAACTAGCATAAACCCTGTTGTACCAACACCTAGCATAACCTGTAGTACCAACACCTAGCCGTAAACCCTGTTGTTAGCACCAAACACCCTAGCCCTAACCCTTTCTAGTACCAACACCTAGCCATAACCCTGTTAGTACCAACACCTAGCCATAACCCTGTTAGCACCAACACCTAGCCATAACCCTGTTAGCACCAACACCTAGCCATAACCCTGTTAGTACCAACACCTAGCCATAACCCTGTTAGTACCAACACCTAGCCATAACCCTGTTAGTACCAACACCTAGCCCGTTAACCCTGTA